TGGGGATCGATCAGAACCTTACGCTTATGAAGCAGGTGGCAGAACTACTGAGCTAAATCCCTGGCCCATTTCTCTTTTTTAATGGAAGTGAAAATTATGATGATCTTGTTCCAGAGTCACTGTTGTTTACTGGATATATTCTTTTAGTTTCCAGGTTTCTGAACCAAGAGGAGCTTCACCCATGGAGCCATGTCCACATCTAGATCTTGCATAAATCATGACATCATGGATGCTATGAAATGAATGAGAATTTGGGTTTCCTGGGAGGTGGTATATTCTGCATATGCAAAGAATATGAATCTTTGGGGTCAGAGGGCAGAATGTGGCAGGCTGCTTAACCAGTAAGTCACTTCACTTGATAGTCACACCGTGTGACATCTCCTCCTTGTTCGACTCTGCATGTGACTATGTGACCAGTTTTGTCAATGAGAAATTGGCAAATATGGGTCAAACAGGCAGGAGAAATGCTTTTACATTAGGGTTTATGCTCTTAGAATGCTGCCCTGAGACTGATGTTAAGAAAATTGGTCTACAATCAAAACAAAACAAAGAATCAATGAATCCAAGAGTTGGTCCTTTGAAAGAATAAACAAATATACAAATCCTTAACCAAATCTAACACAAAAAAAAAGAAAAAGGAGAGAAAAGACCCAAATCAATGTAATTAGAAATGAAAAATGTGAAATCACAATGGACACTGCAGAAAGCAGATTATTAACAACTACGTCACAAAACTGTATGCCAGTAAGTGGGAGAATCCAGAAGAAATTCAGGTTCCTAGATAGATATGACTTACCAAAACTGAACCAAGATTAACACTATAAACTAAACCTACGGCCTTGTACATGCTAAGCAAGCACCCAATCACTGAGCTAGATGTCCATTTCCTAGATTTCTTTTCTTTTTTTTTTGAGATAATTACTTTATTCTTTTAAGCCACTCTTCAAGTCCTGTTATATGTAGCCAGATACATTTCTGAAAGACACAGTCAATAAACTGCCCCATCAAAATGGTCAAGACATTTTGTTTTCATATTTCTGCACTCTTGATTTTAGACACCTAATACTACCTCTTGGAGATAGTTCCACATAATTTACACTAAATTATGCCATCTACTTCCCTATACTGCCTATAATTTTTTAAATGAATAATTCTTAGTAATCAGTTTCATAAAGGTTATAGGGAGCTGTTACCATTTGTTTTTGTTTATATCTAGATGTTCCCCAAAGCCCCATGCTGTCACAGGTGGAGCTTTTCAGAGGTGGCTGGATCTAGAATGTGTACTGCTAGGATCAAAGATGTGATGATGCCAGGATTGATTTGTGGTTCGGTGCTAGGATTAAAGCTGCCCCACACTGGGTGTGAGTGCTACCTAAGGATGGGTAGCCTGGATAAGATATAAGGGACAGAAAGAGGGTTGCTATTTGTTGCTTGCTGCTTTGCTTCTTCACTATTTTGCTGCTTTCTGCCTGACATGAACTATTTCTCCTCTGCGATGCCCCTCTGCCATGCCTCCCTGCCTTGGAACCAGCTGACTATAAACTGAAGCCTCTATGAACTATAAGCTAAATAAACCTTTCCTCCTTTGAGTGTTGGGTATTTTGTCTCAGAAAAGAGAAAAGTAACTAAGAGACATCCTTACTTTCAGAGAGCCAGGTTTATAGACTCAGTTGGAAGTGACCACAGAGGTCAGTTGGCCTCCAATTAGCTGCCTTCAGGTATAAGTGATAACTATTTTACAGGAGCCAAGTCTGCTGAATAGTTTTAATTATTAAAATTTTTTCTTACAATAATTTGAAGTTCCTCTAAATGTTTTACATTGAGGTTGGTATGAAAATAGTGATAGGTCAATTGTGTTTTGCCATACAGACAAGGGAGATAAAAGACAATGGAAGTTTCTTCATTCACTATTTTTCTTCTTCCTTTTTCCTTCCCTTCTTTCTTTCTGAGAGGGTTTTAAAAAATACATAGTAGCACAGAAAATAATATTTACATAGTCTTATATTTAGAATAAATGTTTGCATGTTGTCATTTTTAACAGCTTCTAAGATGCATTTAAGCAAACTTTGAGAATTTTCAAACATACACAAGTAGAAAATGCAGCCTCAAGAACCTCTGTGGACCCACACCAGCTTCAAAAATTACTAACCCAAGT